GTGACATCGATGAACTGACGCATTTCTTCAGGAATCTACCGACGGATAATTGGTCAGAGTCTTCATTCTTCAACCTCTTTAGGTCTCCTTTCAGCGCGTGTGACGAGACATGGATCATAGACTATGGATATTATCCCATTTACTTGCTCCAAATAAAATATCAATAAAAGAAAACATTTCGGAAGCTGACTTGTGCGTACAACTTCAACTCGTTAGTTTCAAATACATGAAATGTATGTACAGAAAATACTCAAATAAAGACTAAAGTCTGAAATCGGACTATCGAAATTTTTCGTTTCCCGTACGAAGAAACGCAACTCCATCCAAGGTGGCGAAATTGAGTAAACAATGAGGAAATGAGCAAGGAAATTTGGAAACGTTGCAATTTACATACGTGCTCGTAACATATAGTCATCAAACTCATATTCAAACAATTAATCATTGAGTCAAACGATCCTGAATAAATCTTGAGACAGCGCTCAGGCGCGGACTCAAAAAATTATAACGCCTTCAAATGACTGGGTATACTTCCCAACGTTACTTGGAAGTTCGAATAGTTGTATCCTCATAAAACGAGAGAGTCGCGTTTGCGTAAGTCTAAGCGAGTCCAGTGCCGTTAAGGACAACGCGACGTTATTCCCGCTTATTTTTTCAAATTTATCGTGTGGCTTATCGTCTTTAGTCTCAGATACAATCATTATGATGCATTAGACGTGGAAGGAAAAAAAAAATGAAAGAACTCATGGAGGTTCTTCGAAGGATTAATCATGCTGGTTCTAGAAACGAGTTCCCTCTGACATCATGCTGTGAGCAGATGTATGATCCTGTTTTGCTTTTTCAGCGAAAATGCTAGTCAAGGATTTTTCAGAGAGCGTAACAATTTAGTTCCAGGATGTTTTTTAAAAAGGAGAAAAAAAAAAAGAATACTACAATAGAGAAAAAGTACAAGAAAATAAAAGACACGGAAGAATAAAAGAGAGAAAAATAAAACGAAGAATGAAAGAGACAAAAAGCAAAAGAATAATAAAAGAGACGAAGGAAAAAGAATAATAAAAGAGACGAAGGAAAAATAAGAATAAAAGAAACAAAAGAAAAAGAATGATTGGAAAGAAAAAAGACGAAGAATAATAAAAGAGACAATAAGGAAAATAAGAATGAAAGAGACAAAATAAAAAAGAGAACAAAAGTGACAAAAAGAAAAAGAACCAAGGAGGCAAAAAGAAGAGGAAGAAGAAGAAGAAGAGGAAAAGAGACATAAAAAGAAATTATAAGGCCTTCAAATGACTGGTTATACTTCCCAACGTTACTTGGAAGTTCGAATAGTCGTATCCCCATAAGACGAGAGAATCCCCTATTCCGCAAGATGTTTTCTCTTCAAAATTCCACGGAAAAAACTAATCTTGCAACGAGAAGTATTAATATCAACTCCTAAACAAGATGTAAGCGTTTACAATTAACATTGGTTGAATGGCAGAAATAATAATGACGTCATTTCTATAATCTAACTTCTATTTGATCTGTGTTAAAAATATTTGCTAAAATCGCGTTTAGGAGTTGATTTCCGACATTCCCGTCATATGATTTGTTTTCTATGAAAGACTTTGAAGAGGACTCAGGTGACGTCAATTTCTAGTTCAGACCCTGTCTGGTGGTCCATTCAATTTTTTACAAGAATATACCAGTGCAATTTTTTTCCAAAGTTTTCCGATTCTCGCGCAAGATCAGAGGAAAATAATTAAAATTTTCAGTTAGAAATGTCCTAGATTCTCCTCCTGGTAAAAATAAAAATCTTCTTCTTCTTCTTCTCAGTATTCTTATTCTTCTTCTTCTTGTACCTTCTGACTAGGGCCGTGACCCTGTTTGTCTAGCCTCTAAATTAGTACATGGTTATGACAAAATAAAATTCAGGAGAAGAAATGTGGCAACATCGAAATTCAGTTAAGTTTCTTCGTGGGAGGAACGACGAATCGTCGTCTCAGTTCTCGGAGATGGCGTTGTATCGTAAGGGGGAAATCAAAGTATATTCCACGGTGTCCCTTGCAGAGTTTGACCCGAGGTACTTTCATATTTGAATTCATTCCGTGTCATATGCTCATATGTTAACGTCAAAAACAGCGTAAACCCAAATCATCCCCTGACCGTCTCGCCAGCCTCGGAGGCAAAAGCCCCGAGGGCAGCTCTCCCTCCCGTGCAGTGCATTTACAGAACCAACTTTCAGCTCAGGCAAACTCCAGGGATTCAGGTATAATGACAAAGAAAGAAATGGGGTCGACATGAGAGGAATCTGGATATTGGAGTATTAATTTTAATCAATTTCTTTTTGTCCCTTTTCTTCTTCTTCTTCTTTTTGTCTTTTTTATTCTTTTTCTTTTTTTCACTTTTGTTCTTCTCTTCCTATATTAGCCAAAAGTAGCCCAAGAACACAAATATTTCTTTCAGTGTACCTCCCCCTCCTCCTTTATACTTTCATCTGGGAGTGCTTAGAGACTCTTTAAGCACTTTTTTTAAAAATTCTTTGATATGGAAAAAGTATAAAAATTGATTTAAAAGTGAGAAAATACACCACTTAGTGACGTCATCCGACGGCATTTCCTATTTGAACCCTTACATTTTAGCAGATTAAATAATTTTTTCATAGCTCCTCCAATAATTGTTCAATTTATGAACCGAGGGTTTCTTCGGTATATTCAGTTCCCTTGGTAGTTTTCTTAACTTAGGAATGTTTGTTAGTGTACATGAATCCAGAGCTTTGAAAAAAATCAAGGAATCCCGTGATGACGTCATTTTTTCGATGTTCACGAAGCTAATTTTATTCAAAGTTCCGAACCTCTTTGGGAAGTTCTGTCCCGGGTTGTCTCATCAGTCACCAACACCAGTGGACACCGTTGTTACCAGATTCGACCAATCAGAACCGTTGGTTTTCGATAGGTCAAACCTTTTTAGAACCACCTCGCGAGGTGGTGCCAAAATCACGCACCAACGTTGCAATTCGTCAGTCATCGAATCGGAAGTTCCGAACTCAAATAAAATGACAGCTCGGAGGTTCGGGCACGAAAGTAGTACCGAACCTCTAAATAAAATTCGCTTACGGGCAGTGTTCGAAACTCACAGGCGCCAACGCGCCAAATGCGCCTGAAAAATCGGCCATGGCACCTAAAAAATGAAGGCACTGCGCCAACGTGGCCCCTAAAAATTGCCCCCAAAAAATCTGAATTTTCATATTAGGTGATTATTCGAAATTTCCAGCACTACAAGTGAAAGCGTTTTCTATTCTCCAAGATTTCATCCTTAGTGCTTTTGTCTTCCCCAAGTTACAGCTACTTACTAGTTCGTAACTAACTCGCTACTTACTACAGCACGTAATATATAGGCAAAAAGTCAATTGGGTCCCAAAAAAATCTTCAACGGCGCCTAAAAATCTGGCTTGATGCGCCACATGACTCCTAAAACTCAAAGGTGAGTTCCGAACGCTGCTTACGGGTGTGTTCCGCGGTCCAACCGGAGGATCCCAACATGGCATCCCTGCGGAGCCTTATCCGCGGGGCCGTGAAAAGGAGCCGGGGCAATTATGATAATGAATTCTGAGAACACAGAACGCACAAACGCTCCACTCGGCATTGATTCACAACGAAACAACCCGGGAGCTTTCAACTCTGTCTACCATTAATAAGCTTCCAAAAGCTCATTAGCTGTATTAAAGCTCGCGCTGAAACGGAGAAAGAAACGGAGACCCCGGACAAATCGCTGGCGGAAACGGATACAAAGCCCCTCGGCGCGGGGGGAATGGGGATCAATCAGTCCGTGCCATTGGTCGTGCTCGTGATAAGTGTGGCGCCAATTCCTCCCCCGTACCGTACTCCACAAAAAGGACCACGCAACAAGTACTCTTCGCTTATCCTTTCTTCGGCTCCTTCCCCCGAGTGGAAAGCAACTGACAAAACCCACAGGAATTTTTAACGGCTCCTTTGCACTTCGCTTTAACAAATCCACACCGAGTGTGAGAGCCGAGAATTTTATGGGCTAAAAAGGTCCCGTTCATAAAATGGACGTATTTCTGCCAAACGGAACTATGTCCATTCAGGCATGAGCTCTGAGACCCATAAGAATGTATGCATAACAGGGCTCACATCATAATGCACACTGGAAAAAAAAAAAAACACATTGGATCTAGAGTCCAGACTCTTAAAAACATCGACAAGAAGAAGTACTCTTGATTCAATCAGAATCTAGCTTCAATCAAGAACCAAGCCTCTTAATTTAAGCGGATTTCGTTTTGATTCAAGCAAAAATCCGATTGAATCAAGAGTATTTTTTCTTGTCAATGTTTTCAAGAGTCTGGACTCTAGATCAAATGTGTTTTTATTTCCCATGTTGCGACTCACATCTTCTTGCACATTGTTTTATTTTCTTAAAGCATGGCCCGAGCCACAATCATTACTCATATTTGTAAAATCGGCTGATTGCTCAACTTTTGAGTAACCGAAAACCGAAAAATCGTGTTAAATTTAGAAGTTTCAAGACACTTACACGAAAGAGGGATGTGAGAGATGAAAATGACTGGGAAGTGCCTACAATCACAAACGATGATTAAACCGTCTTCTTTCTTGCACATTTTGAAAGTAATTTACTACAAAGTATACGTAATATTGGAGCATGCCGTGCAGTATTGAATTTTCATGGTTGAGGGAGGGGGAAGAGGGCAGGCATGAAACAATTAAAGAGTCATGGAGGGAAAATCACCTCGGATACGATAAATTGATATTTCTCAAATCTCCAAACTCTGCTAGGGGTTAAACGCCTCTACCACAAGGAAACTGGAAGTAAATTAATACCCTCAACAGGGTAATTAAAAAAGTTTGTCTCCTCTCAGGTTTTCTAAACTTTGATTGCCGTCATGGTGAGCGCGAGCTCTCCAAAAGGGCACAAACGACCTGGCGCCCAGAGACGCTAGCGCTTGAGCAGAAAATGGAAAGACAAGAAGATACGGTTCAGGGACTCACCCTTTTCAGCTCCTTATTTTCTGGATCTTCGGTTGCTTTCCGTTTGTCGCAAACAGGCTGCACAGCTACATCTTTGTCGCCGACCTGCAACAAGAAAATCAGAATCTATTGAGAGGAGGACAGGCATACGTGGCGTTTGGGTGTCGTGGAAAGTCAGAGTGCGTCGTAGAGCGAAATTTTACGTACAACTCCGTATATGCAAAATCCTGAGGTTCTAAAAGTGGAGCCAGTGGTTTCCTTGTGGTATTTCCTTCCAGAAACATCCCTTAGAATTTAAACTATGGCGAAATGAACACCAAAATTTGCGGTTATAGTTCAAAATTTCACGTTCGACCTCTCTCTAATGGAGAATTTGCATGCAAATTTTTTATTACTTCAGCTGAAAGTGCTGAAAGAGCTGATTTCACAGTATTTTTTATAATTTTTTTTCTGATATGGGAAAAAGTATAAAAATAGATTTAAAAGTGAGAAAATGCACCGCCTAGTGACGTCATCAGGCGGCATTTCCCATTTAAACACATGTATTTTAGCAGATTAGATCCTTTTGTTGTATCTCCTCCAATAATTGTTCAGTTCATGAACCAAGGATATCCTCGTGTTCAGTTTCTCCAGTAGTTTCCACTTTAACACGAAATTCATCAAATTTCAGACACCTGCAAATGCTCTGTTGACTTGATCCACTGTGGAGCGGTCGCAAGCTTTTCTCACGAATCGAAATCCGCACGGAGAAAAAAACTTCGTGCGTCGGACCCGAAGTTTAGGTCATATGGATCTCTGAAGTTTTCGGATTGAGCATTCGAACACTTAAAGTCCAGCTGCTGAGGTTTGGATCACACATCTGAAACTTCAGTTCTTACGTCTGAAGTACTTCGGTTTTCACATCCGAAGAACTTCGGTTCTCACATCCAAAAAACTTCGGTTCTCACATCTGAGGTACTCCAGATGTAAGAACTGAAGTTTCAGATGTGTGATCCGAACCTGGACAGCTAGATCTCAAGTGTTCAGATGCTCAATCTGAAAACTTCATAGATTCATATGACCTAAACTTCGGGTCCCACGCAAGAGGTTTTTTTCACCGTGCGCGAACGAGGCAAATCAAAAGTTCCGAAAAAGCAGAACTCTCGCGGAGGGAGAACCAGTCCGGTGCGTGCCCGGAAGGTTGCGAAGAGACAGTTTAGCGGCTTTGAAATATGAGCGGGTGCTATAAGTCTCAGGCTGTTGAGTGTTGAGTCTGAATGGGTGGATGGATGGCACGGGAATTGCGGTCGAGGATCGGCCTGAGCCGGGGGGCCCGGGGGGGGATGTTGCGGGAAGCGCGACTAATTTAAATGAGTCAATATTTGACGCTCAAGTTGGCGCCAAAAGCCCGGCATGGAAGCCTCTTTACCAAGTGCCCTTTTTCTCTGTTCTCCGCGCTGAAAGGAATAGGAGGTGTTTCCGACCATTTTTCAAAACGTCTCTTTCCAAGATCGGCAGGACCGCTTCGGCCCATCCTTCACTCCGCACAGGCTCTGCCTCCCCCCGGCTGTAATTCTGTTTCATTTGAATAACCGGAGCGCTTCAGCGCCCCGTGGTTTTCTCCTCCTTCCTCTGTAAAAATGGAAAAAAGAAATCCCGTATACCACGACGTCATCTCGACCAAATTTCAGGGATCGCGGCAAAAGTTATTGGGAGGAAATTGATTTGGCTTGGGAGGCTCAACTTCAAAACATCTCGAAAAATACGCTAAAATAGACATTTTAAAAGCTCCGTAAAAAAGATTCGATCTGTCAACAAGTATTGCGCGCACATTGGTTATGCTGCCGTGCTAAGGAAAAACGCCGCATGAACATTCGAGAGTTGCCAAATTTCCTCCGATAAAATGTTTATTTTTTTAGGGAAGTTAGGCATATTTTTCCAAGAAATTTTCAAGAATTTTAGGTGAAATTGCGAACAGAATTACCTGAAAAATTGGAGGAAAAATATTTACAAATTTTCCCGAAAATTCTTGATTTACCAACGGAAATTTGGCAACGCTTGAGGGCTCATACGACGTTTTACCTTAGGATGGCAGTATGAATGTGAGACACGGATGTCATTACTGCACGCGTTTCAAAGGACAATAAACAAGATACGTATCTACGCAGATGATGGAGTATAACATAATTTGCTATGCTTTTGCGATTCTCAAAAGTTTGCATCAATGCTTCCCTCCATTTACTATGCTTTTGCGATTCTCAAAAGTTTGCATCAATGCTTCCCTCCATTTACTATGCTTTTGCGATTCTTAAAAGTTTGCATCAATGCCTCCCTCCATTTAAGTCCATCCTGATTTATTGGTTCTCGGTGAAGCAGCCTAATTCTTTGGGAATCGATAGTTTTACGTGCTTTTAAATGGAGGGGATCCAGTGTTGGCCACTGGTCTGTATTTGTTCCTAAAAACCGAGAAACGTCACTCATTTTTCTTGAAAAATTGAAAAGCATTTCTTTCTCTCGCAATCTTCACTTTCCGTAATTGAACTCTGCAGCTGCAGAACGTACTGTATTATATGAGGAACGTTTTAACCATGCTGAAGAAAATAAGGTCGCATGGTGACGATACCCGATCGTATCAAATATCGCATGGGCAGGGTTGCCGCAGAATTTAGGAAATTCAATTCCCTGAGGTTTCCCTGATTTCTCTGTCACAGATTAGTAAAATTCCCTGGAAATTGAGGACATGCCAGATGCATAAAAAGACATGATTTGAAATAGTTTTCGGGCAAAATTCGTTGTTCGAAACGTCAAACTCATTCTAGAGGGGAAATAACGGTGACTTGACAAATTTTCCCTGACTTTTAAAATTCCCTGACATTTCCCGGTTTTCCCTGACCGTGGCAACCCTGCCTGGGCGGGAGTCTAATTTATGGACCTTGGGTGGTTGTTTTGGTCGACAAGTTAAAAAGCTGAGCTCCGAACTGATAAAAAAAATGAGAAGGGAAAGTAAAGGACGGATGTAACTCCGGCCAAAAACAAGATTGCTATAAAGAGTCGGAAAATAATGATGAACCGAACGTATTTATGCTGAAAGGGACTATGTGCATAGGGGTTGTGCGCAACATAGTTCCTTTCAGCTTAAATACGTTCAACTCGGATACGACAAGAGATTTATACAGTAAATTGGGAGGGACGAACAACGATGTGAGATGTTTTGAAACTCACTACTACGTTGTCTGATTGTGTCAGAAATTGATTTTCTTTTCTTTTCATTTATAAAAAAACTACTTCTAAGGCTAAGAAGCCGGCTTTCGGGGGACTTTTCGCCGCATGCAGTATAGAATCCTGCTATGAGTCAGAAAATAAACATTTCATATGTTAGATTCACAGAAAATTTAACATATTTTTTTTTTTTTTCGATTTGAAAGAGTTTCAGAATGGAATCCTTTCTTCATCGGAGGGCTTCTAATTTGGTCGATCCTGGGCTCCCCATATCGTCTGACTCAAGAGGAGATCATGTTATGCCATTAGCACCTTGCAGAGAACAAGTTTTCCTTATTCTTCTTCTGCTGTTGCAAACGCGACTTGCTGCTATTTTGAATTTATATTAAGGTGAAATCGATGTATCTCTGTTCCTCTTTTTTATTCCTCCATGGTTCTCTAAATTTTGGAATTAGTGAAACACGGTCGTTTCTCCGATTAAAATCGAAATAACACTTTATTGGAAGTGTTAAATACTTACTATTCAAGAAGGTTAGCACCAATTAGGATTAAAGACGCAACTTGACGGGCAGCTATCTTTTATTTCGCCTGGTGTTGTGTACATGGATGTTCTAAATTGCCTGCTTTTCGCAAGATGCAGATGAGTAAATTATTTACACCGCGTGTGTTTTAGCGGCTCTTGAACGGGCTAAGTGTTGTTGGCCACTTACGTAATTAATGACTGCCTGAACATCCTTTGGTTACCTATGCGCTGGATTCCACGGCCTTGATCCTTACCCAGCCAAGAAGCCCTCTGGCCAAAATTCATGTTTTCTCGAAACTTGTCTGTTGGCAATTATACTTTTCTTCAAACAAGCCGTTCATCTGGACGTATTTGTATCAAGCAGAACTCTGTGCGGGCAGGAAATCTGGGGTGTGCTCGTTAATTCTCGAGCCGTAGGAGTGAATGGGAATTAAACTGGAATTGGATTCACTGGATTCACTGGAAAAAAAACCCATTGGATCTAGAGTCCAGACTCTTGAAAACATTGACAAGAAAAAAATACTCTCGATTTAATCGGATTTTTGCTTGAATCAAAACGAAATCCGCTTAAATTAAGAGGCTTGGTTCCTGATTTAAGCTAGATTCTGATTGAATCAAGAGTACTTTTTCTTGTCGATGTTTTTCAGAGTCTGGACTCTAGATCCAATGTGGTTTTTTTCCAGTGTTCACTGTGCGCCCTAAAAAAAAAACAGGACTATTTCCAGGCTTTCCAGAAATTCCGGACTTGTAGACACCCTGCTCGAGCCCTCCCTTCGCCCCGCGGCACTGTGCGGCGCTACGCGGGGCGCTAAAAGAGAAATAACTTTCTTGAGAAGTCGCGACGTGTCTTATCTCCGCGGAGCTCTCATCTCCGATTCTGAGGGCCGGGAGTCCCGGCAATTCGCGGGGACTCCCTGCGTCCCGCCCCCGCCCCCGGTCGGCCGATCAGGTTGATGTAGATAAAACTTGTTTCTCGTATAAATGCTAATACCGACGTAATGCGTGAAGATTTTTTGCGGTCGGCTCGAAAGCGAGGCAAATGAGCGGGATTCCTGTGTAAACACCGGGTAATCGGCTTAGGTTCCGGCCGTCTCCGTTGACGAGCATGCAAACAGGCTTCCTCCTGGCTTATTAGCACGACGGATCCTCCGGCGATGGCGAGTGCCTGAAATAATCCCTTCAAAGCCCACTTTACCTGCCGTGGGACGGGGACTTGGTCATGATCATTAAAAGACTCTTTTACTTCACTGGAAAAAAAAAAAAAAAAAAAAAAAAAAAAAAAACCACATTGGATCTAGAGTCCAGACTCTTGAAAACATTGACAGGAAAAAGGACTCTTGATTCAAGCAGATTTAAGCTTAAATCAAAAGGAAATCCGCTCAAA